AATAAAAAGTCGATTTGAAAAAAAAAATGTTTTGGAAAAAAGCCAAAATTGTATACTGTGGCAATTTTATTTTTTATAGATTGTTCGGCTGCCAATAACAGCATAAAATTTTTTCAAAAAATGTCACACAAAGGTGATATCTCTCTTCATTGGCCAATGTTGATTCCTGCTTGCAGCTCAGTTCAGTTTTTTCGCTCCTGTATTTACTGGTCTAGACATTACCGGTTTTTTTTTTTGTTCTTTTTTTTTTTTTTGATTTGGCTGTAAAATCTAAGATTGTCTTTACAGTGGTGAATTTTCTTGTTCACCTTATTTTTTCTTTTTTTTTTTCTTTTTTTTTGTGATGATTTCTGAAGTGCTAAAAATAATGGTTAAATAAGAAAGTTTCTTCCTTTTGTCTTAGTTTCATTGGCCTACATTTTTTTTTTGTCATTATTAACATTTCTTCCAGTATATTTATATTGTACGTATGTGTGTCTGATAATATGCATTAATGTGACTCATAATCTGTAATCACCAGCTGAAGTTTATTGTTTCATTTGACACAATATTACTTCATCTACCTGCTTTTTTTGGCTGTTGTTTTTTGTCGTTAAATGTATTTCTTTAAAAAAACAAAAAAAAAAAAAAGTGGATATCAATCTTGAAAAATGAATTATTGAATTGTTCGTAAAAAAAAAACAAAAAAAATTTTTTTTGTAGGTGTTTAATCATAGGTTGATTTTTTAAACTGATACTAGCTTTTATTACGCTTTGAAATTTTTCTGTTGGTGTTTGAAAGTATCCTATAAAGGCAAGAAAATAAGTTTTTTTTTGTTTGCTTGACGTATGTTGTCGGTGGTCTAATTAATTTCTTTGTCTTAGCAAAGGGTTCGGTCGACGGGGATTCGTCCCGGCAATATGGGAGAGCTGCAGTCAGCGCTGTTGCTCAAGAAACAGCTATCAGGTAATACTTACTTCTATATATGTTTCAGTTTCATTGGAAAAAAAGAAACCAAGTGTGTGATCAGTTCTTTATTTTATTTGATTGTTTCCTCATCTAGTTTTATATAGAGGGAGAGCAAAAGGAAAATGAAATAGAAATGCATTTTATTATTGTCTAGAACCACAATTAGAATATTTGGTAATACTTAAGAAACGGGAAGTTTAAAATGGCTTTAAATGTGCCATTGAACTGTTATCAATTGTTAAGCTTATCAGTACGCTCCAGGCTGCAACTTTAAGCATAGCCTTGTAAGTGGGAGGGTGAACAAAGTTTGAGACATTTTTGAAATTAGATTAATTAAAATGATTTTGCGATCAACTCCTTTTTTTAGAAATTTTACGGGTTCCAGTCGATGGGTTTTCTGCGGGACTTCAGGGTGACGATATCTACAAATGGGAAGTACTTGTGATGGGTCCTCCAGACACGCTTTAGTGCGTTGTGATTCTCTTTGAGCAGTTTATATTTTCAGATTTCTCATAAAATTTTTTTTTGTTTCAGCGAAGGTGGTTTCTTCAGAGCTGTTTTGGAATTTCCAAAAGAGTACCCACAACGTCCGCCCAAGATGCGTTTCTTATCAGAAATCTGGCATCCGAATAGTAATCTCTTAACCACTTCTTTTAACTGCATTAGGGGTTTAAATTGTTGAGCTGCTAGAAGGTTTTTTTCAATATTTTTAATATTTAACTATATTAATTTCTTATTTTTAGTTCATTCTTTGTTAGGCTTATAAGGTGATTTTCCTAAAGTGAAGTTTATTGATTTTATTTATTAAGGTCTTTCTTTTTATATATTTAGTCATGAAAAGACTTACTTGTACTTAGTTCACCTTTTGCCATATCTCTGCTTTTCTTCAAAGTAATCTGTGTCTGGATACTGCATTTTCACTTTGCTTTATTGTTGACCAGAAAACAACATTCTTACCATGATAGATCAATTTTCTGGAATTTTAATCGGCTTGGAATGATTTGGTTTTTTTCTGACAGCATGATCCCAATCATTTACCGTTTTATGCAGACAAATCTCTACGCCCAGTTGTGCCTTTTATAACCTGCTGGGCCTATAAGGTTGTAGTCCTCTTTTATGACTTGTCTCGCTTAAAAATTTCTAGATTTTCACGGTTCTCTTCTCCATTTGCCTTGAAGAATGGTCACGATTTGGTGAATTCTGTTACATCTTTTCAGTTGACAAGGAAGGGAATGTTTGTATTTCTATCTTACATGAACCAGGTGATGACCGCTGGGGTTATGAAAAGCCTGAAGAAAGGTGGCTACCAGTCCACACGGTCGAAACCATATTGCTTTCTGTGATTTCAATGCTTGCTGATCCGAATCATGAATCACCCGCAAATGTTGATGCAGCAGTAATCTTTTGATCGTAGCTTTTTTACGATTCTTAAGAGTTTTCTCAGCTGTGTGTTTTTTTTTAGTTTTTATTTTTTGAGGCTTTGTAGCTTAAAGGAAAGGGCATTTGAAATTTATTTCAAAAAATGTCTTTCATTCTTATTTTGATTTCATTAATATTAATTAGGTCTTGTTTATTGTAAATGAGGACATCATTATTATTTTAACGCTTTTATTTTTTCTTCTGTTCACTACTTAATTTCAGAAGATGCAGCGAGAAAACTTTCCTGAATTCAAAAAACGTGTGGCTGCTTGTGTCAGGAAGAGCCAGGAAGAATGTTGAATTACGTCAAATAATGATTTTACTGTGCGTGTTTGACATTTACTGTTCACTATACAAAAGTATTTAAATTTGGTTCTACGTTTCTGATATTGTATGTCCATGTTCAATAAAGCCGGTGTTTTTTATTTCTGAGCTATAAATATTATCACTTTGACTTCTTCCTATCAGGTAGGAGGAGTGCTGAGAGAGGTGTTTGTAATGATCGGATTGTAAAAACGGGGTGTTTATTTATATTTGTTGTAGTCTTATAGTACTTACTACGTAGCTATGGCAATCTCTTATCGCAGAAGTAACATTTCTTTATTGTTGCTGAGAATACGTTCCAGGTAATTTGATGGAAAAAGGACGGTATTAACCATTGTTTTATTTTTATGACGGGGATAAAATACAATGGACGGGCTGATTAGGTGTAGTGGAGCGAGGTGCACAGATCAGTGGCGTAAGTGAGGTGGTGGAGTTTAAGTGCAAAGGTCTGGTAGTGACGGGGTGTTGACACTAAATTTACGCTGCATTTTAGCTGGTAAAGTTCTCTCTCGAGAGGGGATTGACTAGTTGAAGAAATGTTGTTGAGCATTAAGGAGAAAGCAGTGGTTGCTGACTGGTCAAATATCATTGCTGCTTTGTCACTGTATGGTAAAAAAACTGGAGTTGGCACTTACTGACGGGATATGGCAGGCAGAAAAATTTGCTGAAATAATGAAGGAGGGATGGTGAAGATTACCGGATAATTTTTCCACTGCGGAAGCCTAAGGAATTTTTGGGAGAAGATAAGATTTCCTAAGATAGGAGAACATACAACGTTATTACCATATGCTGTCTAAGAAGGGCAACTTGTTTTAGAAAACATTATTTTGAAACAGTTTTTTTGCTATAGAAATTAATCGTGGTAAGTTCTGAGAATAGTTTAAACGAATACTCCACTCAGTAATTGCTTGTCATAATCCTTGAATCTACATTGCCCATAGGATTCGAGAGAAGTTGGAAATAAATTAATTTTAAAGTTCTGTGAAAAAGTATTCTATGCTGAATTGTGCTACCTCTTTTTTGAATTGGTTAGCATATTGTCAATGAAGAGAGTAAGCTATAAATTTGCTTTAAAAATTTAGTTTATTAACAAAGGTATATTTAATGTGTGAATATGATTGGACAATGTGATTCAGGATTAGGATTTAGAAGATAATGAAACAAATGTTAGTGACAGTTGTAATTTTAGAGAGCTGTAAGTTGTGCCATCAATAAAATGATTATAGCTGTTAGGGGAGATGATTGCAGAGAGAGAGAGAGAGAGAGTATTAGAATAGTTTTTGTTTTGCTTTATTTCAGAACTATTTGTAATGCACGATACACCTGGTAATAGAAAAGGCCATTTGGTATTGAGCATTAAAAATCGCCAACTATTAGCTGCTGTAAGTAGTATCATTAAAATTTTTGTCTTCCAATTTTTTCTATCAAATTAGAGTCTTTTTTTTTTTTTTTTTTTTTTTTTTTTTTTTT